ATCTCTTTCTCTCTTTTCCTAAAAAAGAAAAAAAAAAAGACTATCCCAGTTGGAGTCTAACAGCTAAGTACAGCAACCCTTCTGTTTGAGGTGGGCCAGCTCACCCCTCCACTGCTCCTCTATCTGAATGAACCTGGCTAGTCCAGACAATGACAAGCACACACACCCACAGCAGCCAAACAACTGAGTTCAAGCAGTCCTCAGGTTCCCTGGGAGCCAGGACTACAAGCACTGGGATCATTCTGTCAGCCTCACACAGTGGCTATAATTTCTCCTTCTGGGGAGTATCCACAAAACAAGTTAAGGACTGGTTCCACAGCTTCCTGAAATCGAGAGGAAATCCAAAGAGACTATCCATCTTCCATCCTCCTATGAAAGCAAGACTAAAGACAACCTAAATAGTCATTAATAGAAGACTTGTTACAATAGTATTCATTTGCACGAACTGCTGCAATGCCATTAAAAAGAATGACCCTGAGGTGCTGGTAATTTCCATTTCTTGATCTGGGTGCTAGTTATGTGGATGTGCTCAGTTTGTGAAAATCAGTTGTACATCTGACACGTGCATGTTCTTCTATGTATATTATACTTCAATAAAATACTTTTAAAAAGCACACAGGAGGCTTCCCTGGTTGCGCAGTGGTTGAGAGTCTGCCTGCCGATGCAGGGGACGCGGGTTCGTGCCCTGGTCCGGGAAGATCCCACATGCCGCGGAGCGGCTGGGCCCGTGAGCCATGGCCGCTGAGCCTGCGCATCCAGAGCCTGTGCTCCGCAACGGGAGAGGCCACAACAGTGGGAGGCCCGCATACCGGAAAAAAAAAAAAAAAAAAAAGCATACAATAGACCTACTTGTATCAATATGGAATGTCCTTTAAAATACTAAGTGAAAAAAAATAAAGGTGTAGAGGAGTAGAGGAGGTGTGGAGGTGTAGAGGAGTATGCATTACATGCTACCGTTTGTGTTTAAACCATAGTTAGATACAGATATAAATGTCTATATATAAACAGGTGCTTTGGAAGAATACACAAGCAGCTAAAAAGGCAATGGTTATGGGGGTGGAACTGGACATCTACAGTTAGAGAGATTTATTTTTTTATTTTACATATTCTCTATTTTAATGTTACTATGCAGATTTATTCATTTTACAATGACAAACTATAAACCGAGTAGCCGAAAACGTCCCTCTTTCTTCACTGAATGCCAGCCTGCTGCCTTGGGACAATTTGCTGCAATTTGGTCTATGAATTAGCACTCAGATACCTGAGATGGGGAAAGGCAGTGTGGTTTATCAGAAAGGTAATTAGTGGTGGTTTGCTATAGCAGAAAGTGAATGGACGTAATAAAACGCATATTATTTGAACTAAGGAGTTTGTTTCCCATCTCCAGCCTTTCTAGCTGTGTGATCTCAGACAAGTTATTTAACCTCTCTGAGCCTCACTTACCCCATCTGAACAATGAGGATACCAGTAACAGGGCTCTTAAGGACTTCCCTGGTGGCACAGTGGTTAAGAATCCACCTGCCAATGCAGGGGACACGGCCCTGGTCCGGGAAGATCCCACATGCCGCAGAGCAACTAAGCCCATGCGCCACAACTACTGAACCTGTACTCTAGAGCCAGCGAGCCACAACTACTCAGCCCGTGTGCTGCAACTACTGAAGCCCACATGCCTAGAGCCCGTGCTCTGCAGCAAAGAGAAGCCACTGCAGTAAGAAGCCCATGCACCGCAACGAAGAGTGGCCCCCGCTCGCCACAACTAGAGAAAGCCCACGTGCAGCAACAAAGACCCAATGCAGCCAAAAATAAATAAATAATTTATTTTTTAAGAAGATTAATAATAAGGATTAACAATAATGTGTGTGTCCGTAAAGTACCTAACATAGTACTTGAAGCCTAGCTGGCACTCAAGCATTAGTTTTGTTATCCTTTCCCCAGAAATAACTAAAACTATGACAAGTGCCTCACAGGCATCTCTAAAAGCTAGAAATGTAGGAGAAATACTCTCCTTGGGGGTTGCCTGGGACCTCTACTACAGGCTTAAAAGCCTTGCAGAGGGCTTCCCTGGTGGCACAGTGGTTGAGAGTCCGCCTGCCGATGCAGGGGACACGGGTTCGTGTCCCAGTCCGGGAAGATCCCCCGTGCCGCGGGGCGGCTGGGCCCGTGAGCCATGGCCGCTAAGCCTGCACGTCTGGAGCCTGTGCTCCACAACGGGAGAGGCCACAAAAGTGAGAGGCCCACGTACCGCAAAAAAAAAAAAAAAAAAAAAAAAGCCTTGCAGAGCAAGACAATACAGGAGACTAGCTGAAATATAAAAGTACCAGGGACAAGCCTAACTTTGAAGAATGCTACTTGATGCTCTCCCCTTCATCCTACAAACACCAAGTGAACTTAAAACAACTTTTTCAGAGCAATGTGAAGTTTGGGGAGATATGTCTGTGTAACAATTAAGACAAAAAAAAATCCCTAAACCAGATAAGAAAAAAAAAAAGATTAAGGGATTAAGACCAGTTCTCTGGTAGACCTTGACAAAGTGATTTCCAGGGACAGATTGAGCTAGAAGAGTCAAAAACTAGGGACTCCAAAACTGCTACCAGCTCTAAGGGAGGTTTTTCACCTCACCACTGGATTCCACCTTAAAGATAAAGTAAATTACAGGTATCCCTTATGATTTGAACTGTTCTTATCCAAACCTACGACTCAAAAGAGATATGGATAAATTTGAGATATCCCTTGTTACACCTCAAGCTCAGGAAACAAATGCATTTGGATAAAACATTTTGCTGTCTGAATTTGCTATAACCAAAATCTTGCCATCCAAATCCATGAGCACATTAGGTTCAGATAGCAAGGAATTCTTACATGAAATGTTTGGTGTAAAACTGCAAAATCTTTAACCTGCTACAGCTTTCAAGCTGCCAGTGTCTAGGTGTGAATACTACAGAGCAAAGAAGCACACTAGTCTCACAGAGCTTTGAAACTTTCTAGGTCAGTGGCCTAAGGACTTGTCAAGTTCTTTCAAAATACAAAAAGAAAAACACTCAGAGAACAGCTACAATCCAAGGAAAATATGGCACAGAATGAATCTGTCACCCCATCCTCAATAAAAGCCAGGAGCTGAGCCAACCTCACTTAGAATCAGCCTAAAGGAAGCAATCGAGGGGCTAAGCAAGGTCAGTGGAATGAACTGGCACCTCTGAAAAGAGACAAGATATAACTAAAGCACAAGTTTATTAACCATTGAAATTTTAGTACATAGCTAACTGATTATAAAGCACCACCAGCAGTGAGGCTAGATTCACTGCTACCAGAATAATTATTTCCTGAAGGAGTTTGAGGTGACACTGAACAGATCAAAGAGCATTTCCTCGGCCTTTAAAAGTCACCTAGCTAACCTGACAGTAAGTATTTAAGGTCTTTAGCATGACCATGCACGTTTACGTGGTTCGAAGCACTTTATACCCAAGCTGCTAGTTACACTGCAACGTCACCTGAGGGAAAGAATTCTGATTTTTAATTATCTCCAAATACCAACTGCTCTGGATAAACCATTTCCTGGCATGAAAAAGGTTTTAAATTCTGGTCCCAGGTTTCCTCAAATGTTAAATGATAAAATCTTCACAATCTTCAAAGAACACTAAGTATCAACTAATTGTGAGATACTTTGAAAATATCAAAAGAAATCAAAACTTTGCTACCCTAAGGAAAGGCTATTAATTTTCAGAAAACAAGCAAACAAACCAAAAATCCCAATTAATTCCAATGGAAACATGTGTTATTACATAGCTATTTTTGAAGTTATCATATTTATTAAGACCTCACTAACTAATCAATTATACAGTTTGGCAATATACTTTGAAAAATCTCAATCTTTTGATTCAAGATCTCATCGACATTCATTCACTCAATAGATTTTAATTGAATGCCTTTACTGTGTGCCAGGTATGTGCTAGGAGCTATAGTAAAATGAATCTCATCATTGTCCTCAAAGATGATACATGTACAATTATATAAGGCAGGTTGTGTTATAAGTGATTAAAAAGTGCAATGAGTTCAGATAAAAAGCACTTCCCGCAGGAAGCAATGTCTAAACCATAAGCTTGAAGACAGGATCAGGTTCCACCAAGGAGAGAGAAAAATTAAACCTTCCAGACATAGTCTGAATGAAGAAACATAAGCACCTTTTCTCCACTTAAGTAGGTATAGAAAATTAAGAGTACCATTAAATCTAACCATATTTAAGGAAAAGCAGTATTTTGCTATTTCTCTAGGAAGATTTTTTTCCCTATCTGCACAATTGTTAAAGAACTTACAAATCCATTTCCCCAAATTTCTCAAAATAACTAAGTCCATAATATATTGCACAAGTGTTACCTTGAAGAGCCAGATCTGTCTTCCATAAAAATTTAAAAAAACAAATTATCATGGTGATATACATGTTATGCTTACATTTAAAGAGGATTTTATAAACAGCATGGTATAGAAAAGAGAAAACCGGCTTTAGGATGAGACAGACCTGGGTTTTGAAACTCAGCTCTTACTTACTAGCAGTGTGACCTTCGAAAAGTTCCTTCTCTGAAAGCCAGTTTCCTTATCTGTAAAAAGGGAGATAACTACCCTGTAAGCAACCCTGTGAGGTACAGAGAGAATATGTATAAAGCATGCTGCATAAAGAAGGTACTTAATCAATGTCCTCTTTAGTTACTTTAATGGGAAAGTAATAATTACTCATAACCTATTTCACAAGCTAGGATTTTACAACAAAGATAGATCATTTGATCAATATCATACTAGATCAAAATTAGAAAATAACTGACCCAGAGCCTCATGTATACCTTTATGCCACACTACTTTCAAACCATTACATTAGCCTGAAGGTACAGAAACTCTGTCTTCTAAACCACTGATGAGCATGGTACAAAAGCCATTGACTATGACATACTGTACCTTTTGGTTTGATTTCTCTTCCCTTGAATGGCTAAAACGTGTAAGCTAACACAAACCTGTCACAGTCCGCTGGCCATCACTTAGGTTATTCCACCACTTGTTAATCTAAAACAGAAGAAAAATTGCATATCACCGTATGGTAAATAATTTCAGGCTATGTAAATGAAAAGCAAGAAAGAAAATCCTTTGTGCATAAATGAAAGAGTCCTCATCTATAAAAATCTCTACTGAACAACAGACATAACAAATATGCGATAGAGTGGAAAACACAGCTGTTTTACAGTAAGACAGCCTGCATTCTCTACACAAAGCCACTGATAAGCTCTGTGACCTCAAATTACTTCTAAACTTCAGTTTCCTGATACATAAAATGGAGACAGTAACAGATATATAGCAATACCACTGTGAGGAATATCAATAACATAAAGTACCTAGCACACTATCAAGTGATTGTTCACCAAGATCCAATCTAGTTTTAAAATTCTAACCAAAAATATTTTCTACTAAAATTGGCTTTTTTTTTTTAAAGGTATAATACTAGATTGAGGTTTAGAAAAAGACAGAATCCTAATCTTTTAGGGACACACCTTGAAATTTTATAGATGATATATGCCTAGAATTTGCTTTATAGTAATCAGTGGTGGGGAGGGAAGGGAAAGAAGGGGAACTAGATGAAACAAAGTTGGCTATGTGTCAATAACTGTTGACATTGGATGATAGGGGTTCATTATACTATTCTCTTCACTCTTTTTACTTTACCTTTGAAATTTTCCATGATTAAAGTTTTTTAATTAAAAAAAACTATGTTCTAACTATGAAACTGAACCAGACTTTGTATACTAATACAGAAGGAAACCCAAGGTAAAGAAAAAAAGTTACAGATCAACATATATTTGATTCATGCACAACAATGATTCCATTTTTGTAATTCAGTTGACCTTTGAACAGCAGGGGTTTGAACTGCACTGGACTTATATGCAGATTTTTTTCAATAAATATGTACTATAATATACTACACCATTCGCAGTTGGTGGAATCCACAGATGTGGGACCGCTGTTACAGAGGTCCCACTATAAAGTTACAGGCACGTGTGCCACTGCGTGGAGGGTCAGCACCCCAACCCCTGAGTTGTTCAAGGTCAACAACAATTTAAATGTGTGTGAACTCTCAGACCTTACTCACTGCATATGTAGTAGTGGGGCACAGGTTCCCAGGACTTTCACTTCCCATGTTATATTTATGTGTTATTTCAATTTTCTTTAACATGGATTTTATATTTTATCTCTTATCATTTAACTACTTTAAACAAATCCATCTTTGGATAAAGATTATGTATATTGCATGTGTCATTTTCACCATTCCAAGGAACAATTTGGGTATCAAAACTTTATAGTGCAGAAGCCTGTAGCTTTCAAGGGATCCAGGACTGTGGAATAGGTCAGTGTTACTATCTTCTCAAACATATTGTACTGAATAAAAACCACTGCTCATTACTGCAGGTTTTACCTGCAAATATTACATCCATTGTTCTTCTGACATAAAGCCTCTCTAGAACTGGTAGGGCTCATGCTTCTTGTGTCTATGGGGAAACAAGGAGGAATGAATCCTTCTCCCTACTTAGAGGAACCTTCAACTATCATTAGGAAAAAGAAAACCCAAGGCTGCTCTCTCACTAGCCAGGAATAAGAAGTTCCTAGGAAGGAGAAAACTGAAGAGGATATCAACACTCTCTCCAAACTGGAAGAGCAGTGTGTCATAAAAAAATACGGAGGTGCTTGAAAAATAAATGGACCTGGATCCACAAATTAGCCTATGGTCTCTGCTCAATAAGTACTGGCAAATGAAATAAAATATACGCTTTATCTAAAAGGCAACGTTTTAAGAAAATCAGTTAGGTGGAAGGAAGGCCATCAACTTGCATATGAAATAATGAAAAGTTCTAAAAGCTCTATATTTGTACCCTTTTCTTGCCTCTTGATCCCCTGAGCACAGTTAGAAAAAACATCAACAGTGGTTATTTATCAGAGATATATAAACATCATGTCACTGAGAAGCTTTTTAAAACCCACATAGTATCTCTACCCCTCAAGCATAAAACTCCCTGTGATTCTAATATGGACTCTAAAAGTAAAACAGTGGCCCTTAGTAGAGCTGGAAAAGGTTCCAAAACATTAATTTTTAACATCTGTGGTGATTCTTGATATGTGGGTAGAGGGACAAACTTCTTGGAACACTGTTAAGTACAACGTTGCCAGACATACGAAACATTAATACTTACTACAGTGAAATGACTCTAAAGAAGAATATTAACTGCAATGACTTCACATCTACTGATCTAATGTTGCCATTAACTAAAAACACTTCATAAATAACCAGACTTCAAAAACTGATCAACTAGAACAAAAAAAATGCCATGTTTATCTTTACCTCCTTTCTGAAGTCTCCTTCCTTCTGTGGTCTTATGCTATCCAACCAATCAGCTTTTATACCATCAAAATAACTCTGGACCCTGGATTTCAGTGATTCATATTGCCAAATGGCAGCTGATCCAAATGCACAGCCTGTAAACTATATAAAATAAATATATTACAAAAGAAAAAAATTTTTAAATAGATCTATACATAGTTCCAAGGATGATATTTCATTTTCATTGCTTTTTATAAACATAAGGAACATCTGGCCCACTGAAACTTACTAGGTGAAAAGAACACTTGTTTCCCATTTTATTAACGTTACAGTACCCTGGGGCCTGTTTACAGTCAGAACTTTTCCAATAAAATTCAAAATATCAACTCAGTATCACTTGCATTGTTATACCAAATAAGAGGCCCATGAGTTTCTTCTCCAGGGCTTACATAAATGACCCATACTCTAACAGCAATTATTAAATTCATGTTCTATTGTAATCATGACCCCAGATCCTTTTGATCCCACTCCACTTGTCTTTAAGGGAGCCCAAATAGGACAAGTAGTATTGATACTTTAACACTACACCTGCAGCAAGGTAGGTAACTCCTAGTGACGTGAGCTCTTACCCCAACAGTAAAAAACAAAGGCTTTACAAGAGTCCTTATAGGATAAGGAGAAGGATAAAAGGCTGTTTCTTCTACAGGAGGAATCAAAGCACTTCTCTTGTATGCTTCACTACTTGTTCCTGTGTCTGATCTTCGAGGTTCAACCTTCCTGGGTGCTTTTCTGAATCCACATTTTTGCTGAATAAAAACGTTAAACCTATAGGGGAAAATAACAGATTAGAAACAGAGCTGCAGGGACATGGGTTCTATCCTTGATTGGGGAACTAAGATCCCACATGCCTCGGGGCAACTAAGCCCACGTGCCACAACTACTGAGATCACGCACCTCAATGAGAGAGCCTGCGTGCCGCAAACTACAGAGCCCTCGTGCTCTGGAGCCCGCGCAACACAACTATAGAGCCCATGCACCCTGGAGCCCGCGCACCACAACTAGAGACAGAAAACCCTCACGCCGCAACTAGTAAGAAGCCCGAGCGCAGCAACAGAGACCGAGTGTGGTAATTAAAGATCCTGTGTGCCTCAACGAAGATCCCATGTGCTGCAACTAAGGCCCGATGCAGCCAAAAAAAATAAGGAAAATAAATAGGAAGGAAGGAAAGAAGGAAGGAAGGAGGGAAGGAAGGAAGAAACAGAGCTGCATCTTGCAAACATCAACCTCTACGAGCCTCCCCAACTGACGTGCATCATCACCATTTCAGTTTATTCTCACTATGCAGCCCCAAAGCCGCCAAGACTCCTACTCCCAGGTAGGATTCAGTCAAAACAATGAACTGTGCCCTTCTGAAAAAGGAGAGACATAAACTACAGCAGCTTTACAGGGCATCTATTTGGGCCGTTACTGTGTATCAATCAACAGAATAATTTGTATCCATCCCCCACACAGTCTGCAATCCTGTAAAAAGCTGGAGAACTACAAGTTGTGGTTTGAATTAGCACAGAATAGCTTTATTTTTTTTGAAGTTTGGCCAAACATTTAAATCAAATAATGATTTTCCTTTTATAAGTACTAACTTACTTAGTACAAGTTGGCGGATTTTCCCCAACTTGCCCCCTATTTACTTCACTACCAGTTTGGGGGACACCCAACTAGATGTTCTATAAAGGGTTTTCTTGTTTTGAGTCCTTATAGCTTGACCTCCTCAAAACATCTGACACTACTGATCACACCTGTCAGCGCCTGTAAGGTTGCACTCTCTGCTCTTCAAACTTGCTTTCCTAACGGCTTCCCCCTTTCTCCTATCCCGTAAAGACAGATATGCTTAAAGGCTCTAATAGTTCCTTTACACATTCTCCATTCAAACTGAACCCATATAAATTTGTGAAGCATTTTTTTCTTTTGTAAAATGGTAATTTCCCCCAGGTAGACCATGTAGAGGCCCCTTCCTGTTTGTTCTCATTGTACTCTAATCATACTATATCCTTCAGACTCATAGAACTCCTGTCTGCCAGTCAGACAGGTCTTCTCACCTTTGTAACGTGGGCCTTGAAACACTTTGGTTGAATAAAAGAAAAAGTTCATTTCTGTGGCCTGGATGACTTCTGAGCAAGTAAATGATTCAAATATATGTCTCTAGTCCCAGCCTCAATTTTCTTGTCTTGTATTTCCAACTATATATTGAATAATTCTACTTGGATATGCTCCCTGTTACTTTAAAACCAATATATTCAGAAGGGAATTCATCCCCTTCTACAAGCTCCATTTTCTGACTTCTTTATTCTTTCAGTGGGCCCACAGTTATCTTAATCACTAAGATTAAAAATCTAGAAGTCATTATGGAGTTCTCTCTGCTTAATTCTTACCATCTAATTTAAAACCAAATCTGTCGAATATTTTTTTTCACTCCTAATCTAGTCCCGTACCCCATGCCTAAACAACAGCAACAGCTGACTTCAGTTCAAACATTTTAACATGTTGCATGTTCTTCTTTCCTCATAGCACTCTTCCACAAACATTCAACACTTCCTCAAATGTCGTCTTAGAGGGCCAACATTCTCTCCCTAATTCCCACACAATCCCTTAGTTCATCCCTTTTGGCCTGGAATACTCTTACCATTTCCTAACAGATCTCACTGCTTCTAATACTGCCTTACTCCAATTCATCCTCCACATTTTATTAGGCACAAATATATTATCATTCCCCTGCTTTAAATCCCACAGTAAATTTTTCATCACCCCACCAAATTCAGCAATGCTACTCCTTTGTTGCGGTACTTACTTCCCTTTAACTTTTTCATGCCCTTCAAAATTCAGTTCATTTATTTCCTCCTCCAGGAAGCCTTCCTAAACTCTCGCAGGCTGGGTGTCTCCTTTGTACCCCTAGAGTCCTAAAGCATGCTGTATGTACTCTTATACTTGTCTCATTTATTGCCTGTACCGTAACTAGATTATCACTTCTGTATTCATTTTATCTCCACCACCAAGGCCAGTTCCTAATAAAGAAAGGGTCAATAATTATGTTAGAAGAAAGAAGGGGTCAAGAATGATTATTGGTTTTATTCTGAATAACTGAAAGGAAGGTGGTACTACTCACTAAGACAAGGAAAATCAGAGGCACCAAAATAGGAAACTGGAAAATGAGAGATGAATAATTCCATCTTGGGCACTGTTTAAAATGCCTGCAATCACAGCAGCTCAGTTCTAACAGGTAAAAATTGGAACTTAAATTTCCATCAACAGGGGAAAGGATGAACTGTGTTATATTCACACAATGGAATACAGTGGTCCCTCAGTATCCATGGGAGACTGGTTCTAGGGCCCCCTGCGGATACCAAATTCGGGATGCTGAAATCCCTTATATAAAATGACGTAATACAGTGACATTCCCCATCCACAGTTGTTTGAATACATGGATGAGGAACCTGGAGATACAGAGGGCCAACTGTATCACTCAGTGAAAAACTACTGATCACACATCACGGATGAATCTCAAAAACACTGCTGAGTAAAAGAAGTCAAACACAAAAGAGCACATAATGTGTGTGATTCCATTAATGCATATCAAGCTAAAGAACAGGCAAAAATAATTTGTGGTGACCAAAATCAATAGTGGTGGGCTTCCCTGGTGGCACAGTGGTTAAGAATCCACCTGCCAATGAAGGGGACACAGGTTCAAGCCCTGGTCCAGAAGATCCCATATGCTGTGGAGCAGCTAAGCCCGTGCACCACAACTACTGGGCCCGCGTTCTAGAGCCCGTGAGCCACAACTACTGAGCCCTCATCCACAAATACTGAAGCCCGCGCACCCAGAGCCCGTGCTCTGCAACGAGAAGCCACCTCAATGAGAAGCCCATGCATCGCAACAAAGCGTAGCCCCCACTCGCTGCAACTAGAGAAAGCCTGCGCGCAGCAACGAAGACCCAATGCAGCCAAAATTAAATAAATAAATAATTTTTTGAAAAAATTAATAATGGTTGCCTAGAGTGGGACTTGACTGGAAAGGGGCAAGAGGGAACTTGATGGAATGATGGGCAGTATCTTTATTTTTAGGTGATGGTTGCACAGGTGTATACATTTGTCATAACTAATGGGCTGTATGCTTAATACTTATATGTTTTACTACATGTAAATTATATTGCAATGAAGTATTTTTAGCATTGGTAGAACACCCAGGTGATGTCTAGCAGGCATTTGGAAACACGAAACCCAGAAAAATGGTATAGCTACTATTACCATTACTCACCTAAAATGCTGTCTTCCACACTGAGTCTACGCCACAGTTCAACTTCTCAGACATCACATGGTGAGGATGGGTGATGATGATAAAGTAATTCACCTTAAAACTTCTAATAATTTAGAATTTGTACTAACAAATAAGTGCTACTTCTTTCAACAAAATCTATTTTGGAAAGCAGTACACTTAGTCAAACAATGCCAATGTTGCTCTGAATGGCTCTGAACTTCAGAACCTGTTCCCGGTCTTACGAATATCCTTTAGCAAGTAACTGTTGAATGGCTAATTGCAAATCTATTTCTAGTTCTTGTTCTGTTGCCTGCTTTTTCTGCAGAGGCTAGGAAAGATAAATATCTTCACTTTACCAGTCTCTCCTATGGCTAGGGATGGACATATTACAGAGTTCTGACAAAATGAGACTTAACTGTTTAGAAACCTCTTGAAAAGGTTTTGCTTATCTGATAAAATTGGAGGTATCACTAATGTCTCATCCCTCCCACTTCTTTTTGCCTTGAAAAAGGACGCAATTTTCTAGAGATGAGGCAGTCATCTTGAATGCCCAGAGAAAGGCCAACGGCTTCAGAAACTAACCTTAACATTTTTTGAGCCACTGAGCAAAGACAATAGCCACCTACCTCCAATCATTTTATGCTAAATACTCCTCTCGTTTCTTTAAGCAACAATTAACTTACAGCCAAATGCATTCCTAACTGATAACAGCTTTAAAAGTGGCAGATGTTAATCCTTTGCAATTGGATTTGATTTTTATTAAATATTCCAAAGTAATTTAGAGCTAGGTCTAGTAAATAAATTACAAGTAACACCACTTTGGGCCAAAAACCCCAAAGATGTGACATAAAGTAATAGGAATATGTTTCCTTTAAATGTTTCCCTGTAAATGGTTACAATTGTAACCCAGGGCCTCCTTGGTGGCAGCAGTGGTTAAGAATCCATCTGCAAATGCAGGGGGACATGGGTTCGAGCCCTGGTCCGGGAAGATCTCACATGCCATGGAGCAACTAAGCCCACGTGCCACAACTACTGAGCCTGCGCTCTAGAGCCGGGGAGCCACAACTACTGAGCCCGCGAGCCACAACTAGTGAAGCCCATGTGCCCAGAGCCCGTGCTCCGCAGCAAGAGAAGCCACCGCAATGAGAAGCCCGCACACCGCCATGAAGCAGCCCCTGCTTGCTGCAACTAGAGAAAGCCTGCGCACAGCAACGAAGACCCAATGCAGCCAAAAATAAATAAATAAGTTAAAAAAAAAATTGTAACCCAACGTTGCTGGTTTCTGGTATTCTTTTTTTTTGGCCACATCTCATGGCTTACAAGATCTCAGCTCCCCAACCAAGATTGAACCTGGGTCACGGCAGTGAGAACCCAGAGTCCTAACCAGTAGGCCACATTTTTTTCTTTTTAGACCAAGAAATATGAAGGATGAGATTTCTTTATATCTCCAACAGCTTAATACTCCAGGATATGTACTCAATCAGTTCTTCTACAGCTCATCAACTCATATACAATTCTGAAGCACAATGCTTGAAAAGGAATACAAATACACCAGGTTGGGAATCTGGATTTGACGCAAAGCCAGACCTTTTGCCTAGAATAATATTTACCTTGAGAATCTCAACAGAAGTTAAGTGTGGGACTGAGGACACCAAGAACAAATTGGCCCCAGATGCAGTTCAGATGCAAAATACATGTTAGGAGTACATACACTGGGAATTAGAGTTGGACATACAGATCTTGTTGGATAGAATTAAGTACTATGACTTGGCTCACTGAACACCTATTCCTTTCACCTATGGTACATTCACATGCTGCAGGGACTGGAAAGCTAAAAACTATTTCCTTTTGGTTAGGATTCGAGATGTGATCAGGGCCTGCTAATCAGATACATCAGCACAACACCTGAAGTCAGAACTGAGTTGAGTGAGAGGCAGCACACGAGGCATGACTTCTGCTAATGAAAATAACGGTGGAGACAGCATAGTTCTTACTTTGGTTAGCAGAACCTGATCTGGTAGCAGCTTCCTCAGTTGTCTCATTTATTATTGCTTAAAAGAGTTGTTTAAAAGAAAAAGAATATCTGACAGTGACCTACGTGGCCCTATTTTCTATCAAGCCATTTACAAAATATGTTTGGCAAACCCTGTCCTGAACTGCTCGTTCATGAACCACTTTGAACAGCAGGAGCTAGAATCTAATCCCTCATCCTTCCAACAACATTTCTACTTAAATTACAATGGTTATCTACAGGTTAATCCTATCTGACTAGAATTTTAAAATTAGGATTTGTAACCAAAGTATTCCAATACAAAAGTTTCACTAGGACTGACAGTGAGCTTTTTTGGCTCAATCCTAGCATCCGCACCTAAGGGTACCCTGGAATTTCCAGCCACTTGGTTTGGGGAGGCACACCAAGCTCCTGACTGGCTTAAGCGAAACTACATGTCCCACATCCCTGGCAAATTTAAGGAATTCAAAGATGAACATGCATCCCAAGTTAGGCCAATCCAGTCCAGTGAAATTCAAATTTCAAGATTTTGTTTGTAATACTGGGGAAGAGAATCTTTTCTGCTGGACTTGAACCTACAAGTATATAGCCCCAAGAGCTGCTGACAGCCATCTTACAACAAGGAGATAGCATACTGAGAACATAAAGCCAACGTTTAGGAAGCAGAGCCAAGCCATGGAGGAAAATGGAGTCCTGGTGACAATCTGAAACACGATCTTGCCTCACCCAGAAGCCAGGCTCACCTCTGGACTTTTTAACGGTATAAACCAATAAATTCCCCTAATTATTAAGGTCAGCTAGAGCTGGGTTTTCTGTTGGTACAAGGATGCTTTTAGATATAATAAGTACTTCATCACACATTACATGACAAGGTACGTTCTCTGTCCTTAGTGAGCTTTTGTTTTACATTTCTTAAAAGTAAAACCAACCAGGAAAAGTGTAATAAATGTCTCCAATTGCAAATGTTTGATATCATATTTAAAGGCCTAGGTTCTTAAGCTCTAACCATTCATATGGGTAGGTAATATGGAAAAATAAATGACCTGAAATAAGTCTGGAAAACAAAGGAAGCAACACAATAAAATGCATGGGGGTGGGATGGGAGGAAAGAGTCACAAGAGGTATACACCAACTCATGAGGACAGGCCTGCCTTTTTGCTCTGTGCTTTGGTCCTTCTGCCAATAACTAGTGATTTGTGAAAGCAATGTAACGTGCTCAAAGTGGGAAGATCTTATGAATGCTTGAGTTACCACTAACCACACAATTGTTATGGTTCCATTTTTTAATATCATCCCGTAACTTTTAAATTGAAAAGTCATGTCTATATATCTGTTGCCTTAGTGGTGAGTGAGATAACACAGTCTAGTGAATTGTTTTCAACAGTGTGAGGATAAAGACAATGCCACTTAGATATCGTACAAGTCAGCACTAATGTCTATGTTACTATAGATTTGTGTGAATAAACTGAGTAGAAGTGGCCTATTGTGCAAATGGAGACAGACGTGTCCAAGCACACACACAACAGACTCATCCCACTTAAAAGAAAATAGTTGTATTCAGGGGAAGGGGCATAAACTCTTGCATGCCGCAATTATTTTCTTAAAACTCATCTTGAGTTAATACATGGTGAATTAAACAGGGAAAATAATTGAATATACCTGATTTACTAATTTGTCAGGTATTTAACCTAAAGATATCTTAAGATTGTTATCCTAATCTAAAAGATTTAAGCTCCGTGTAAGTGCTACAATCAACTATTTTCTTCTCTTAGCTAGTTCCATACAACTGACAAATTATGCAGGCTTCTTTCAGACCTAAACCATTTTTCAGCAGTGCTGCCAACAGTTTGATCGTGGTAAAGTTTCTGAAAACCCTAAGTGAAATAGTCTCTTTTTTCTGTAAAGAGCCAGACAATAAACATTTTAGTCTTTGTGAAGAACAATTTAAAACTCTGCGGCATAGTGTTTCATTTTGCAACCCTTTAAAGACATAGAAACCATTCTTGGCTGGTGGGCTGCCTTGGGCCTGCTATTGTTTGCAGAAATTTTGAGGAATATCACCACCTGTAGTTCTTGTAAGAAGAAAAAAATGCAAATTCTCAGCCACACTTCAGGCCCATTACATCAAAATCACAAGGACTGAGCCCAGACCTCTGCTTTTTAACCGTATCCATGACTTCATTCCTCCACATACTAATTTTAGAACCACTAGAAGTGAAAGCAGACCTAATAAAGTTATATACAAGGAAACTCATGCTTTCTAGAGGTAAGCAGACATATATTCTATTATATTTCAGGCTTACCTACAATCTCTTGTAATGCACATTTTTCAGTGTCACCACAAAAAAGTCAATTTCAAACTCTGCATATAAATGACAAACTAAAAAATTGTGATGCTAATCTTCAACATCACATGATTTTTTTTTAAATGGCCTCATTAGCCAAGTTAGTTCTTTTCCTTTCCCTTCCTAACACATATCTTGAATATTTAACACCAGTTGCTTCCTAATAACTATTCACTTTTCCTCCCCCTCAAACCATGCAATTTCGACTGGGATTTGGAATAAAGTGGAAATGGAATCAGGACCACTGAAATCAACCACCACCTCCACCTGACCTCATTCTCCATCTCCTCAGGAGTTTAAGATTAGTGCCTGAGGCTCCATGTTCCAGTGTATCATGAAGTTAAGGTACAACATAAGCCAGTTTTCCACAAATCTCTGATCCTACACACATGCAGTGCTTGTTTAGAACTGCAGGTTCTTTCACTCCCCGCCCCCCAGCACCGGGCAAGATGACAGGAAGGACTGGGATAGGGCCTGGGAAATAGTCTAAAAACACTCCAGGTGATTTTAATATTAAGGATGGCTCCACCACATTGGAGCCTCAATTATTTACCACTGGCTAATCCCCATGTTGATAAACACTTCATGTTCCTTGCTACTATCAGTCAGGTGGATTCCAGGCACACATCTAACCAAGTCAGAAACTGGCAGAGCTGAAATTCTGTTAAAGAACAGGAAGAAGTTTCAGAGCCAAATACACATCAGAATATTAGTTCAGGGATTTCTCTCTTCTCTCAATTTAGAGTTGAATTACTCTAATGCAAAAGCAGCAAATACTGATAGACCGTACTCTTCATACAGCTTCTACTCGGGAAAAATTGACTTTTCTTTCCAAGTCATCTAGAAACCAAATACTCCACTCCCAATTTCTTTAACAGAAAAGCCTCTCCTACAACTCTGCAAGAGGCAAAGTGATGCCCTCCTCTGACTCCGCCTTCCCTTACAGAGTTCTCTAAACGATAAAGAAGGTAATTTGTAGTAAAACAAAGGTTTTATAAAGACTGACAATAAAATCTCAGCCCTGCCATTCTACCAGCTGTGTTAACTCTTGCTCGCAGGAGTATGAGGCGTGGTGCGCAATCAGCCCTCACAGATTACTTTTCCCGTCCCTCCGGATGGGAAAGGGGCCACCGCGGGCTCACGGAGAGTTGGGCCGGGGCTGGTCACTGTGCACCCGGGCAGGGTGGCGCGGCGAGAAGCGAGGACTGGACGCAGGCGAGAGATAAAGGGGGAGGGAGAGAGGAGGGGCTGGTGAAGAGAGAGGGTGAGCCGGGGGCAGCATAAGAGAACCGCACGGCCTCCGCCCCTCAGGATGCGCTGCCGGAGCCGAGGGCACGAGAGGCGAGAAGCCCCGAGATGCGACCATTACCTGCGCCCGAGCAGCCGCGGCTGACCCAGGGCTAGAGTGAGCTCCTCGCAGCTGCGGCCGCCCGCCGGCGGGGCCCACGCCTGACCACAGCCCCAGCCTCTCTGCGCCAAGCCTCGCCACGCCATTTTCCCAACCTCTGCCCCACCATGGCCCCACCTTACCAAACCCTGCCCGGAACCACTTCCGGGGCGAAAGGAAGAACCATAGAGTGCCGAGGGACAGCCTAGCGCGCCCCCGTGCGGCCGATCCCAGGCCGGACCAACCTGAGGGAGAGGCAACCGCCGGTCGGCAGCAGTCCGGTCGGCAGCAGCTCTCCCGGCAGTGCCCAGCCTCGACCTGGGAGGGGCGTGCGAAAGCGGCCAGGCCTCCACCCTACTGACCCACAGGAAAGAGGGGGAAAAACGAATTTATTGAATGATGCCATGTACCTTTACCTAAGTTACTGCATTTAATCCTCGCAGAACTCTTAAGATAGATGTTATTACTGCTTTTTTTTTTTACCGTGGTTCTGAGGCCCAGAGAGAAGTGAGTGGAGGAACCAATATTGCAACCCAAGTTTTCTTAAATTACTACTCTTTTTTCTGCCCACCATTTCACGTTATGATACACTGAAGAGGATGTGCCTTTAACAAAAAGTCCAAGCGTGACATGAAAATCTAGATTCTAGATAAAATTCAAACTTCATGATCAGCCCTTGCCTACCCGTCAGCTTTATTTCCTGCCACTCCATCCCTCCCTCTGACCCTAGCTGCAGTCATACTGAAACATACGCAGTTTCTTTTTTTTTTTTTTTTTTTTTTTTTGCGGTACGCGGGCCTCTCACCTCTGCGGCCTCTCCCGCTGCGGAGCACAGGCTCCGGACGCGCAAGCTCAGCGGCCATGGCTCATGGGCCCAGCCGCTCCGCGGCATGTGGGATCTTCCCGGACCGGGGCACGAACCCGCGTCCCCTGCATCGGCAGGCGGACCCCCAACCACCGCGCCACCAGGGAAGCCCCCGCAGTTTCTGAAAGGCACTACTTTTCCAGTCCCTACTTCTCCCGAGTTCATATACCATCCTCACTGCCTGAAACGCCTTTCCCTTCTCTGCCTACTAACAAATTTGTCCTCCAGACCAACTTGAATCGTCACCTCCTCTAGGAAGCTGTAGGAAAAAGTTTTCCTCCAACCTCTTAGGGTCCCTGGCCAGGTCTGAAAGGTAGTGACAAAGACATTAACAGGAGAAAAGCACACAAAGTTTATTGAGTTTTTACATGTACATGGGAGTCTTCGAAAGAAAATGAAGACCAGAAGAAGTGACCAGAGCAGGAAGTTTTTATACCTTTTCTACAAAGAAACAATTTGTGAAGAATTGACAAGACAATGGGGCTTGGACTAGGAGTAGTCCAACTAGGGCTTATCTTCCTTAAGTAGGAAGACGAGAGGTTAACAAAGCTTGTTTGCAGATTACCCCAGTGTCTCTTGTTGAACAATAATAATATTAATAATTAGTATTCATAATAATATCGCAGCTGCAAAGACCCTTTATTTAGGGTCTCAAGAACTGCAATTCAGAGACACAGATTAGGGTAAAACCAAGAGTGTTCCGGGGAAGAGAAGGAATCAGGGGCTTATAAAGGCAAAAGCCACAAGGTTGTTCAAGAATTAGAGGGTTCCCTGGTGGCCTAGCGTTTAGGATTCTGGGCTTTTACTTCCATGGCCTGGGTTCAATCCCAGGTCAGGGAACTGATATCCCACAGGCCACACGGCCAAAAAGAAGAATTATGTTGGACTCTCAGGCAATCCCTTAGGGCAATATTCCTTAAGGGACAGGCTCTCACTAGTTATTCTAGGGTAAGGGTCAAATAAGTAGGTAGGCTGTCATGAGCTAATTTTAGGGTGAGTCGAATAATTATCTTGAGTTTCTGGAAAACTGGATAGATATTCTGGATGCCGGTGTTAAGACAATAAGTGATTAGAAGGTCAGATTCCATCCAGGCTGAGATGTGCATAAGTCATACTTCCTCAATGATCTCCCAGCTGTATTTTAGAGGGCTCTCTTAGCAATACCGACTCCATTTTGAGTTTACTTTTACACTGGTCTCTAGTCTTTGGGCTGATGTCTGTCTCCATGAAAGGAAACATTTATTTCCTGCCTTTAGAAAGAAAAGGGGGAGCTTTTTCCGCATTTACTGCTTCTTGATTGCCTTCAGCTCAAAATAACTTTTATGTCAGAGTCATACTTGGGGGTGACATTTTGGTTCCCTTTAAGGCTTTCCTCTTAGACCTTCACGCTGATTTAGATGACCTTCATCTGTGTTTTAATACTGCTTTATGCATATCAGTATAATAACACCACATTCATTCCATAAATACTTATTAAACACCTATAGTATGCCCAGCAATGTACTAGATCTGGGATATATTTTAGAAGACACTATCTCTGTCCTCACAGAGATCCTACTCTACAGGGGAAGAAGGGACCAAGTAAATAAACAGGCAATTACAATACATTGGAAGAAGTGCTATGGTCAGAGAAGCAGAAGGCTCTCTGGGGGTTTGGAGGAGGGGGAAATAATGCTGTCAAGGGATAAGGAACAGGAGGCAGGGGAGAAGGCTTCCCAGAGAAACTGATGGTAGTTACCAGGAGAAGAGAAAGGATGAAATGTTCTAGGTAGAGAAAGTAGCATTTGTGATGTCTTCCAGGGCATGACTTCTTTGAGAAACTAAAATAAATTAACTTTGGCTCTGTCATAGGTGTCAACTATGAGATTTGATTTTACCCTATTTGCAAGCTAATCAGTTTAGATGCTGGCAGAAAACAGGAGACTCCTGGGTCAGAAAGAAAAGACTTTATTACCCACAGCACAAGCATCATGTGCATCGTGTTTGCAGGGGCTCCCCTTGCTCTGCAAGTCCTACAGGGCCAGGTGGATGCTGAACATGCAGTGGTTTTGCATCTCAACTGAAGAACACTGAGCTTGGGGTATCTACCATTTTAATAGCATTAAGAAAGAAACAACAAGGCCAAAATGGAGTCACCTGTGCTAAGCCCCACATCAGGAAAACAAGACTTACTACGTAACCTAATTGCATTTTCAGCCTCTCCCAGGAATGTGTCCTTTAACCAGTCAATCTGGAATTACCTGGTCAGCACTAGTCGGGTAATCTGCCTGATAGACCCACAGCTTCCCCCAAATGAAGGTGACCTTGCCTGAAACAATCCACTCTTTTGCTAGAAGCTTTCTTTTTCCTCCCCCTTCTGCCTATAATAAGCTTCCATTTCAGACGGGTCCTGAGAGCTCCTTTCTAAGTGCTAAGATGGGATACTGTCCAATTCATGAATCATTAAATAAAGATCTAATTGAGATCTTCAAATTTACTCAGCCGAACAAAAGTGGTAAGCAAGCAAACAACCTTGAGATAAAGGCATTTTCTTCCAGAGCAAAGGGGCATATTTGCTTATAGCCTTGCATCTTAGTCTACTTGGGCTGCCATAAGAAAATACAATAGTCTGGGTGGGTTAAACAACAGAAACTTCTCTCACACAGTTCTGGAGGCTGGAAATCTGAGATCAAGGCACTAGCGTGGTCAAGTTCTGGTGAGAGTTCTCTTCCTGGTTGCAGATGGCTGACTTACTGCTTTGCCTTCACATGGCAGAGAGAGACAGCAAGCTCCCTGGTGTCTCTTCTTTTAAGGGCACTAATCCCATCATGGAGGCCCTACCTCATGACCTCATCTACACCTAATTATCTCCCAAAGTCCCCATCTCCAAATACCATCACACTGGGGATTAGAGCCTCGACATACAAATTTTAGGGGGGGGAGTCACAATTCTGTCCATAACACCTTGGAAGATAGAGATTAGTATCACTTGACAGAGCAAGGGCATGCTTACTGCCCATTATAGAAGTTTCCAGTTCCCTAAACTCAGCATTCCTCTCCTATAATGCAACCCACTCAGTGTGCAGGTGTCATTTAGCCTTCATTGCATTGTCCCGTGGGAATTGGAACCCAGGGAATCAACACAAAAATGTTGATATTCTGGCTAATGCTATTGCTCTAATAAGTTGTACTTCATCTTTGACCCAAGATTCTTTGTTTTCTACCAGCATCCATAAAACTGTGTCAGGCTAACTTGTTCAGAGCCCTCACAGTTCTTGATAGGGATATGTGAATTTGTCATTTCCTAGGGGGAGCTTCTCTAGCTGCTAACAAGAATTTGGGTGTGGTCATACGGTTGATGGCTAAAGAGGAAGGAAGCTGGAAGTCACTAAAGATGAGGAAGCCTAGAAACTGAGAGTCCTGGATGTTGACTGGGCTACTCACATTAACTTGGTGTCACCAGGATGACAGCAGGACTTGAAGAGGAATCCTGAGGCTTCAGTGAAAGAGAAGCAGTGACCAGAAGATTAATAGTGCTGAAGAACGGCTAGAAATAGAGGACAGAGTGTCAACAGAGGATAAATACAAGCTCCAGGTGATCTGTGGACAAGTGATCTGAAAGAATCATTAGGGCACGAGGAGGATGTGGTCCACCTCCAGAACCCAAGGATTCTGAGGTGGGGATGTGCTGGATGTTCTCTTCTAGCTCCTCCAGATCACTCTTGTATCCTGCTCCAGGCCCCTCAAGACTAACCTTTATGGACCAGATCAATGGGCTCCCCTGCCCTCTGGCTTTCAGCTGGACTCAGCCAATTGCAGGCACCAACAGGAGATTGGAGCATGGGAGGAGAAAGGCACTTACTCCATCCACTCTTCCTCCTTGATCCACACGGCTTGGCCTCTGTCTTCTGTTATTTAAGCTCTCCTCATCACTTTGAGTGAGGCTGCTATTTCTGGCGAGGACCTGAACTGACAGAGGAAGAACAAGCAGCCTCAACTCAAAGTCTGCAGCAGAAGCAGGGTCCTCAGGGGACAGCCAGGAGTCAAGATGACTGGAAAGGATCAATGGAGGTGTGCTGACTATAATCCAGCCACAGGAGTATTTATTATTATTTGCCATTTATTGTGCACTTAGTATGTACCAGGTACTGTGATGGGTATTTTGCATACATTGTCATATTTAATTTAATCTTAATATCAACCAAATGAGTTAGTATTATTATCTCCACTTTGCAGGTGAGAAAACTGAGGCTATTGATAATCTGACACTTTGACTCACTTCTATGAATTCAGATAACTTCTA